TAAGTGATCTAATACATTTCAAAATGTGTTCTAAGCTGTGAGAGAAAACTGTGCTGTACAATTGTAAAGTGAGACATAGACCATATCTATAAGATATATTTTCAGATACAGCCAAATCCACCTGGTAAAATCACTCTGCATCATAATCCCTGACAAATTGTGCATGCAAGAACAATAGAGTCAAGCTGAATCTTATTACCACTAAACCAAAGCAAATTTCTCTACAGGGAATTGCATGCCCTGATATGTGATTAGACAATGATCCATTCAGTTGAGTAAGAGCCAGATTATTATATTACATCCACGCTTAGGTCATAACCCACAACCAGTTAAAACAATTTATGATGCACTAACAGCCCTGGAAGAAAATAACAGCCCATACAAGACCAACAACAGCAAACAGTCCATACAGGTCATTCTACTGGTTCCTATTTAGCAGTTCGACCTAGAATAGCACCTGTTATTGCTTTGATAAATCTCACTGATATGTTCAGTAAATATGAAGCCAGACATATAGAATTATCCATTGAATGCAAGTCATTTGCAAAACTAGTCGGACACTTTAAACACCATAACTACTATAGTGCCATGTATTAGTTATGGTTCCAGGAGTGCCTTGTCTCCTCCTATCTCAAGAAGTCAAACTGTTTTACAATGTTTAGATTTCTTACCTTTGGCAAGGGTTTACATTTGTATGGAATTTTATTTCGCCAACTTGCCATATAAAGTATAAGTTCTCACAGCTGACTTTCTTACCTGTGACAGGGATTGCATGTGCAATCTAAAGTAGGAGCATTGCTAGTTAAAGGGTTACGCCAAAAAACTAGCAATGCTCCTAAAGTACTGTTTTTGATTAGGGTAACTTTTGCTGAGCTATCTGGCATCCCCAATTTAAAAATGAAATAAAATAAATCTAAAACTTACCTCTATTCCAGCACCAAGGCCAAATTCTCCCTGCAACTTTATCCTCCTCTGCTGATGTTGTTCCACTTACCTGGAAAGGAATTGATTTCATGGAGAGCGGGTTGAGGGGAGGAAGCATGGGGGTTGGGGGTTGGGGGTTGGGGGGGAGGGTGCTGTGTGCTGCTACTGGAAGCATGTTGCCAGCATTCTGTGCGTAACATCAGACATCCACTATATACATAATTAACATCAGGCAGAAGCTAAAATAAAAATCCATTACATAAATAAATAAATATGAGTGTGGGGCTCCCAATGACACTTTTAAAGCAGTTAGAAGTCACATTTGCATTTGCCTCTCCATGTCACACACTGCGTGTGCGGGACACAACTGAAAAATAATTTGTAGAGCACTTATACAAGATGTGCTGAACTGGTGGCATGCACCTTATTCCCTATTTCTTCACCTACTACTCTCATGTGAAGTACTGGGGGATAGTAGGCTAAACTAAAGTGTAGTGAAGGGTGCTAAGAGAAGATAAGCTGCAGGTCACCTTTTAACCAAGATAGAGGTATAGTATTTCCTCCAATTCTCTTACCTTATATGTGGCTAGCAGCCCTCCTGTTCCTTCCCATTTGAATTATCAGAGGGTTCCTTAATGCCCTGGCACAAAGTGATAACCTAGTTTCAGTTCCAATTCGGGTGCACTAATAGTTCTTTCAGTTTTTATTGAACTCCCTAATGAACTCCCTAATGTCACTAAGTACCCTGCTATTAATATTGTATTCTGGTTTGTGGATTCTTGGCAGCAGTATCCTTACTACAGCCTCCAATCCCCCTATTACAGTCCCTTACAACCACTGCAGCACCTATCCCACACTACAGTCCCTACCCCCAAATGCAGTCCCTATCCTCTCACTACAGCCTATATCAGCCCATATCATCTCCCCAGCATCCCCTATCCCCCCACTACTGCCAAATCCCTCTCACTACAGCACTCAACCCCCACTTGCAACTCTTATCCCCTATTACAGTCTTTACTGCAGCCCTAACCCCCTACTACAGCCCTATTACCCCACTGGAGCCCTAACCCTCTTTGCAGCTCTCTTAATCAAACATCAGCCCCTATCCTCTAACCCTTCCTACTACAGTCCCTTTCTAACCCCCAATATCAGTCCATACCCTCCACTATAGCTCTTAACCCTTCATTTACAGATTCTACCTTTCTACAACAGCCCAGATCTCACTACTACATCCCTTAGCCCCAGTGGTGTATTTACCCTGAGGCTGACAAGGCATTTGCCTTGGGTGGCACTTTCGAGTGGGGAGGTGGAGCAAAAAAAGCCTGCACCCCAAACGCTCTGACAGATGCCTTTTCAGCCTCTTGTCCCCCCTGAGGCTGGCATCTTCTTGGGATGGAGGCGGGTGGCAAGGGAACACTCTCCCCTGAACTCTCCTTGCTCAGCTCCCTCGCGTGCATCACCGTGATGCCGGAGCCGGAATATGACGTCACTCTGGCCCTGCCATCACTAAGAGGTGCACAAGGGAGCTGAGCAGGGAGATCAGAGCTTCTTGGGGTGCCCCCGCATGCCTAGCCACTCAGCAGCTCAGCAACCCCACTGGACCGAAAGGACTGCACGCCCTGCCCCTCAGCAGCCCCACTGGACCACAGGGACCGCACGCCCAGCCGCTCAGCATCCCCACTGGACCACATAAAGACTCCATGCCAGCACTCCCAAAGGTAGGGAGGTTGGGTGGAGTAAAATTTAATAAAAATAATAAATTGTATGTATGTCTGTTAGTGAGTTTGTGTGTGTTTGTTTGTCAGTAAGAGTATATATGTGTTTGTCAGTGAGTTTGTATGTGTGTCTGTTAAAGAGTGTGTGTGTTTGTCAGTGAGTGTGTATGTGTGTTTGTCAGTGAGAGTGTATATGTGTTTGTCAGTGAGTTTGTATCTATGTCGGTCAAAGAGTGTATGTGTTTGTAAGTAAGAGTGTATGTGTGTCTGTCAGGGAGTGTGTATGTGTGTCTGTCAGTGAGAGTGTATATGTGTTTGTCAGTAAGTTTGTGTGTGTATGTCTATAATTTTTCTTGCACCCAGGTGTCAGTGACCCAAGGATCGACCCTGATCCTCTCACTCTGTATCTATCCATCTATCTGTCCGCCTGCCCATCTGTCTGTTTACTTGTTGTCCGTCCTCCTGCCCCTTTTGCTCAGCCATCCATCCGTCATTCTCTTTTTGTTTGTGTATGTAATATTTTTTAATAAATTATATAATATGTGTGGTTATAGGAGAATGAGGAAAAAAAAGAGAACCAAGAAAAGTACAGTTAAAATAACACTTTGAAAAAAAGACAAGATTAGTCTTGTGCTTAACACATTGCATCACAAATGGCCTGGTACCTTTAGGGTTAATAAAAAAAAGGTATAGATATTGCTTCAGCAGACAGATGTTTCCATGACTCATTCAGTGCTTATGACACAGCACCATTAACTGCATGTAATAAAACTAAAGTCTAGCCTTGTTATTTTAGACAGAATGGTGATTTTGTGACATGCCTTATTGTTTAGTGATTCCTACTCAGACAAAAGATCTGAATACACATGCTACACAGTACATGCGTTACAGTTAGGTTGTTTTTCCTTGTAACATCATAAGCATATTCATTTTTACATATTTTGTATAATTTCATTTAGAAAAAAGTCATATAAATTGAAGCATTAAAATATATGCATAAGATGGTTTAAAAAGAAATCAAACAAAACATTTTGAAACAGTTTCACACAGTATTTTTTGAGTACCTTTCTCCACAAATGGAAAAACAGAGAATAAACTCAGTATAGTACAACAGGGGCAGAAAAATGTAACTGTCTTGAAAGTTAACAAGTATATGTCTCACATTTTTGTAAATATTTAATTATATCTTTTCATGTGACAACACTGAAGAAATGACACTCTTCTACAATGTAAAGTAGTACGTGCAGGGGTCAAGTCCTGGGGAAAAAAGTGTGGGAACTCACCCAAGATTCCCGCCGCCTCCCCCCCCTTTAAAAAAAATTACACTCCTATGCATATAGTGCAGTGCAGGGTGTGTATAATGAATGTAGTGTGTTTGTAGTGAATGCAGAGTGTGTATAATGAATGCAGTGTGTTTTTAGTGAGTGCAGAGTGTGTACACTGAATGCAGTGTATGTAGTGTGTTTGTAGTGAATGCAGAGTGTGTATAGTGAATGTAGTGTGTAGTGAGTGCAGAATGTGCATAATAAATGCAGAGTGTGTATAGTGAATGCAGAGGGTGTATAGTGAATGTAGTGTGTTTGTAGTGAGTGAAGAGTGTGAATAATGAATGCAGTGTGTGCGTGTGCGCGCTGGATGACGTGTGTGAGTGTGCTGGATGATGTGTGTGCGAGTGCTGGATGATGTGTGTGCGTGTGTGCTGGATGATGTGTGTGCGTGTGTGCTGGATGATGTGTGTGCGTGTGTGCTGGATGATGTGTGTGTGAGTGCTGGATGATGTGTGGTGTGGATGCTGGATGGTGTGTGTGTGTGTGCTGGATGGTGTGTGTGGTGCTGGATGGTGTGTGTGTGTGTGTGCTGGATGATGGGTGTGTGCTGGATGATGGGTGTGTGAGTGCTGGATGATGTGTGTGTGTGTGTGCTGGATGATGGGTGTGTGAGTGTGTGTGTGTGCTGGGTTGTGTGAGGTGCTGGATGAGTGTGTGTGTGTGTGCTGGATGATGTGTGTGTGTGTGTGTGCTGGATTATGTGTGTGGAGTTAACGGATGATGTGTGTGTGTGTGCTGGATGATGTGTGTGTGTGTGCTGGATGGTGTGTGTGTGTGTGCTGGATGATTTGTGTGTGTGTGTGCTGGATGATGGGTGTGTGAGTGATGGATGTGTGTGTGTGTGGGTGATGGATGATTTGTGTGTGTGTGTGTGCTGGATGATGGGTGTGTGCTGGATGATGGGTGTGTGTGTGCTGGATGATGTGTGTGTGTGTGTGCTGGATGATGGGTGTGTGAGTGCTGGATGATGGGTGTGCTGGATGATGTGTGTGTGAGTGCTGGATGATGTGTGTGTGTGTGCTGGATGATGATGGGTGTGTGTGTGCTGGATGATGGGTGTGTGTGTGCTGGATGATGGGTGTGTGAGTGCTGGATGATGGGTGTGTGAGTGATGGATGATGGGTGTGTGTGTGCTGGATGATGGGTGTGTGTGTGCTGGATGATGGGTGTGTGAGTGATGGATGATTTGTGTGTGTGTGCTGGATGATGGGTGTGTGAGTGATGGATGATGTGTGTGTGTGTGCTGGATGATGTGTGTGTGTGTGCTGGATGATGTGTGTGTGTGTGCTGGATGATTTGTGTGTGCTGGATGATGGGTGTGTGAGTGATGGATGATGTGTGTGTGTGTGTGTGCTGGATGATGTGTGTGTGCTGGATGATGTGTGTGTGAGTGATGGATGATTTGTGTGTGTGTGCTGGATGATGGGTGTGTGAGTGCTGGATGATGGGTGTGTGTGCTGGATGATGGGTGTGTGAGTGAGTGCTGGATTTTTTTACTTTATATATAATATTTATTTTATCCCCCCCCTCCCTGCTTCTTACCTTGTCAGGGAGGGGGGAGATCGCCTGGTGGTCCGGTGGTATGCTGGAGGGAACCAGCCGCTGCACACAGGAGCCATCATACGCTGTGTTCCCTCTCCAGCTCTAACTCTCGCGAGACTCGCCTGTGCGGAGCGTTGCCATGGTAACAGCCGCGGGTCTCGCGAGAGTTATAGCTGGAGAGGGAACACAGCGTGTGCTGGCCCCTCAGTGCAGGTAGCAGGGCCGGTCCTGCAGGACAGGTAACGGGAACGGCGTTCCTGCTTTGGAAAAAGTGCGGGAACGCCTTTCCCATGCGTTCCTGCAGGACTCGAGCCCTGAGTACGTGTACAGCCTGTATAATGGTGTGAATTTGCTGTCCCCTCAAAATAACTCAACACAGAGCCATTAATGTCTAAACCGTTGTCAACAAAAGTTGACACCCCTAGGTGGAAATGTCCAAATTGGGCCCAATTAGCCATTTTCCCTCCCTGTGACTGTTACAAGGTCTCAGGTGTGAATGGGGAGCAGGTGGGTTAAATTTGGTGTTTTTGCTCTCACACTCTTTCATACTGGTCACTGAAAGTTCAAAATGGCCCCTCATGGCAAAGAACTCTCTGAGGAACTGAAAAAAGGAATTCTTGCTCTACATAAAGATGGCCTAGACTATAAGAAGATTGCCAAGACCCTGAAATTGAGCTGCAGCATGGTGGGCAAGTTCATACAGCAATTTCACAGTACAGATTCTACTCAGAACAGGCCTCACCATGGCCGACCAAAGAAGTTGAGTGCATATGCTCAGCGTCATATCCAGAGGTTGTCTTTGGCAAATAGACGTATGAGTGCTGCCAGCATTGCTGCAGAGGTTGAAGGGGTGGGGGGTCAGCCTGTCAGTGCTCAGACCATAAGCTGCACACTGCATCAAATTTTTCTGCATGGCTGCCGTCCCAGAAGGAAGCCTCTTCTAAAGATGATGCACAAGAAAGCCCGCAAACAGTTTACTGAAGACAAGCAGACAAAGGACATAGATTACTGGAACCATGTCCTGTGGTCTGATGAGACCAAGATAAACTTATTTGGTTCAGATGGTGTCAAGCGTGTGTGGCGGCAACCAGGTGAGGAGTACAAAGACAAGTTTGTCTTTCCTATAATCGAGCATGGTGGTGGGAGTGTCATGGTCTGGGCCAGCATGAGTGCTGCCGGCACTGGGGAGCTACAGTTCATTGAGGGAACCATGATTGCCAACATGTACTGTGACATACTGAAGCAGAGCATGATCCCCTCCCATCGGAGACTGGCCACAAGGCAGTATTCCAGCATGATAACGACCCCAAACACACCGCCAAGACGACCACTGCCTTGCTAAAGAAGCTTAAGGTAAAGGTGATGGACTGGCCAAGCATGACTCCTGACGTAAACCCTATTGATCATCTGTGGGGCATCCTCAAACGGAAGGTGGGGGAGCGCAAGGTCTCTAACATCCACCAGCTCCGTAATGTCAATCATGGAGGAGTGTAAGAGGACTCCAGTGGCAACCTGTGAAGCTTTGGTGAACTCCATGCCCATGAGGGTTAAGGCAGTGCTGGAAATATTAACACTTTGGGCCCAATTGGGACATTTCCACTTAAGGGTGTACTCACTTTTGTTGACAACGGTTTAGACATTAATGGCTCTGTTGAGTTGAGTTATTTTGAGGGGACAGCAAAGTTACACTGTTATACAGGCTGTACACTTACTACTTCACATTGTAGCAGAGTGTCATTTCTTCGGTGTTGTCACATGAAAAGATAAAATAAAATATTTACAAAAATGTGAGGGGTGTAAGCACTTTTGTTAGATACTGTATTAGTGTACAATGATAAATGTTTTTTTTTTTTATTACACATACTTGTATATTTCTCTCTTAAGTCAGTTTGAGTGCAGTATCATAAGTTAATTTGTATATACGTTTTGAGGTAGTTGGAGTGGGCTACCTAGATATCTAGCACCTATTTGGATGGAAGAGTGCCAGGACACATTCTTGATTTTTGTGAAAAATAGAGAATGCTGCCTGCAGGCTAATAGCACTGTAATCACTACATTGGCATGTACTTGTTATGGTGCTTAGACAGACCTTTTAATAATTAGCATTACTGTAGATACTTTTTCTGCATTAATGGAATGCAGTTGACAATTAGAACAGCTAGAATGTCGTTTCAAGTGTTTAGAATCAAGCATCTACCAAGATTCAGTGGCTTATGGTAAAAATGATTGTGCCTTGATATGTCCAAAATCGAAACTAATAAAAAGCAACTGATATAAGTCAACTTTTTGGCTGTGTTGTATCAGCCACGGAGGGATGACAGAGGAAGGGCTCTTAGCACAGTGAGCACTCTGCAGATTTTGTTTTGCGGGATGTCCCATTGATGTTTGGTGTATTTGTAGGTATGCCCTGATAGAAATGAATTTGCATTCCGATGGAATTTTTTAGTAGTTACATTACAAAAACATTACACCAGGTTGCTTAGGCATACCAATGTTTATTTTTACCTATTCCTAATATAAGGCCTCCTTGCCAGGAAGAAATCTGGTCCTAATTGTATGGAGGACTCTCAACTACACAGTGCGATTAGGCAGCATTATGACTGATATTGTCGGACTCTATTGGGGCTTTTATTTATGTTTGGTGTTTTTTTGAGCTGACCATAGGAGTTAAGATGACCACAGGAGTTATAGTGGCATGAGGTGTATATTACGAATTGTATATATCACAGTAGCTTTTGTCATTATTTGTTAAGACATGGCAATTGAATAAAAATCAAGCATGTGTGATTACACATACTTGTATATATCTCCCTTAAGTCAGTTTGAGTGCGGTATCGTAAGTTTATTTGTATATTCTCTATTTTTGACTTGTTTGAACAAAAGCAGGGTTACCATTGTCATAGCTTGTGTATTGCTCTTCTGCAACTGTCACTAGTCTAATACTATCCTTACCTTTTAGTGTCACATTACCCCACTCCCTCTAGCATGTAAGCTCATTGAGCAGGGCCCTCAACCCCTCTGTTCCTGTGTGTCCAACTTGTCTGGTTACAACTACATGTCTGTTCGTCCACCCATTGTAAAGCACTGCGGAATTTGACGGCGCTCTATAAATATCATAATAATAATAATAATAATTGCTAATGTGGCCAAAAAAGTGTGACCCAGAACCCAAGGGACAGTTTCTGCAGCTGTAGAGCACCAGAATCACTACATCGGCAGGTACTATTAATGGTGTTTAGGCGACCCCGTAGCATATTTTTTTCTCTTGGAGATATGGGGGTCCCTGCCTGAAAATAACTGCAATAAAGTTATTTTGCTTGCACCTCTTATTAATATTCTGGTCTTCTAATTTCTCTAATATCATTCTTATCCTCTTAAAAGGAGAAAATACCTTGTAGAATGTTTTCTGCAAATTAATTATGTGGAAAATATTTCCGTATTTGCTATTCAATATTTTCTCTAATGGCTATATGTCATGGCAGAGTCTATGTTACCCGTGAGCTTAGAATATTGAAGCAGGAATGTTGGTTTTAATGTGCGACATCATGGGGAGGAACTTTCACTACAGTCAATTTATCCTGCCATAGGGTATAGCAGTACAAGGATGGATGTATTTTCCATTTTAATTTGACACTGCAATATACTGTGTTAATTGTTGAATTTTCTTACTTGCATATTTTAGAAGGGCCCACGAGCATTCCAATCTAAGCTATTCTATTGTAACAATTATCTTATGCAATCTAAGATTCTGGAAAATCTTACAGAAAACAGCTCTGGGGTATGGAACGTTTACGGAAACCTGTTCACTTAATATTTGTGGTGATCATCTGGAGTAGCTTCAACATTGGAAAATGTGCCTGTTATTTAAAATATGCAGATAAATCCACGGCCATAAATACTGTCAATGAGATTAAGTGGAGACAGGTAGTGATGGTTCGTAAACTTGTCAGGCTAATATGTTACTGTCATGAATCCTTCATAATACGGGAATCTTAATTTCTCAAATGGCTTTCCAGTAATTTACTTTATTTATCTTGATTTTTGTATTTATGATTCTCAGTCAGTGGGATTTTCACACATTTTCAATTCATTTTAATTTGTAAATAAATGGAAGCGTATGCCTCAATAGGTATATTCTTTGAAAGTTACACACCAGAAATGAAAATCGTATCCTGGATAGTGCTGTAAGAAGAAATAATAATAATAAAAAAAATAATAAAGACATGGTTGATTTTTTTTTGGTGCAGTAAGTCTGGGATGCAGTTGTCCTTTTAACCAGAGAAGATTAAGATCCAAATAAATTTTCTGAGGTTTCAAGGTAAAACATTTGACATTTATGAAGAGAGGACCAAAGGCTTTAGTCATAGTTTAGAGATGTATTGACGTAAGACAGTACTCATAGTAATAAAATCTGAGGTCTTGAAAACAATATCAGTTCCAATCTTTTGTGTGTATTAAAATGTGAGCGAATTACAGAATATTCATTTTCTGGAACAGGGATCCAAGAGCAAAAGAGAATAATGCATTATTCTAAGATAATATTTGCATTGTATGATAAACTTTATTTAATATTGGGTTGAAAGATGAAAATTCAAGACCAGAGGTATGTGAACACGTGCTCATCAAGCATCTTATTCTAAAATCATAGACACTGAACTGGATCTTTTACTTTAATGCAATGCTAGATGCATCTCTTCTGGAAATACTTGATATTAGAAATTTGCACAAGGAAGAGACAATAAGTGACCTGGGACACCGATATCCCCTTAAGGACACAACTTCTGGAATAAAAGGGAATCATGATGGAATATTTCCGTCATGTGTCTTTAAGGGGATATTATGTAATTGGCCTGGTACAGCATTTCAAATCATCTTAAAAGGTTTTTGAGGTTATTTCTGTGTACGGGGTGATCATGTTCTTCCACGGCCATCTTGACATCTGATTGCTCTGTGTTCCTTGCATTGTATGTTTAATATTGGTTTCTGAATCAGGAAAGGGCCTTTACTAAGCTCCGGCACAATCCAGGAGAAACTGCTACAGCACTTTATTCTACATATATCAACATGTATAGTTGGTATTTTCTAGCTAAATAGCATGCTTTGGAAATTTGCTAAGCTCAAAATCATTTGTCAGACTACTACTAAATGGTGAAATATAATATATAGCTCCAGTTTATATTGTTCTAGAACCTAAGGGCAGTGAGCGGATGTTTTGGGTAACACATGAAGGCCATAGGCCCCATTTATCAGACATTTCTCAGTGTATATAAAGCAACAAATATATGGATGTCATATCCATTTTAAGCTGTACTTTAAAAAAAAAAATCTTTGACAGTAGTTTTTATTCAGCTATTAAAAGGTATTTTGTGGACAAGGGTGTGTATTGTCTCTATGTTTTGTTAATAACAGAATGTTTGTGATTCCTCAGGGTAGTATATCACTTGTATATATGAGGTATTGACCAAATTATGTGGATTAAGTTACCTCTTCCTAACATGGATGACTCACAAATGGTGTCCAGAAGAGAACTATAGATTAAAAGAAAGGTTCCGTATGTTGATTCACATCATATGGACACAATGGAATTCTGGGAGAGTCTAAAAGCTTAGTTTAGAGTTTGTAGCAAAAATAGAATTACTTAGACTGAAGTCTGTATCAAAAAAATAAATCTATAGTTATGACTTAGAGGTTATATCTTTACCAAATCTCTGAAAGAAAACATGTCCGATTTGAAGAGTCATCCAGTCACATTGTCTGTATTGCATTTACGTGTAATACATAAGGGTTTACCAATTTTCAGATCTGTGCTACACTAATATTATGTATTACTGCTGAGCACCATAAACACTAGAGCATCTTGTAGTGGTTATGGTGCAACTGGATTAATTAATTTCCCCCAGGTACTGTATCGAATTGTTTTCAAGTAGCTTGACACAAATTGAGCTTCCCAGATGCATGCAAAGTCCAACCTCTAGCTCTATTTTTATTTATACTGCAGAAGTATCACTTTTACATTTGCAGCATCAATTTCATCTGAATTTGAACAGCACTGATTATTCAGTTAGTCAAATGCCATTCAAATTGCTGACACGGGACTGTAAAACCTGCATCAGCATATGTCACCAATATTTAGAAGCATGTGTAACAGGGGCCAGCTATGCAACTGAAGCAACATTTTGGAGAGGGCAAGAGAGGTTATTGGACAAATTCATGCGAAAGAAGTTTAGAGATGACCCCTGGGTGCATTCACCAATATGCCCTAATCTACTCCAACACACATACAGTGTAAGAATTCTGAGGGCAGTGTTTGTCAAGTCTATCCTGGTTAGTGATGGTTTGAAGGACTCATCTAAATTTTTGGGTGGGGCTTCCACCACCATAAATGGTTTGAGAGAGGGAGAAGCTGCAGGAGAACTTCACAGACATTTCAGATATCGTCAAATCCTGTTTAATGACCAGAAAATGCACAAATGAGAATTTTAATTTACATTTTCACTACAAACTTCTAACCACTAGATTGCGCTGTTACACTGCGAAACAACATATCATGTTTAACTATTGTTTAATTTTGTGAAAATGCATTATGGCAGATTGTAGGAAAGTTTAATTTTAGCAATGCAAAGAAAAAATAAAGAAAAAACATTCATGCAAAAGTGTATTTGTGTGATTATTGTATAATTAAATTTGCTATAAGTATTTGAACTTAAACTGTAATGTTATTGTGAAGTTGAAAATGTGTAAATTAAAAAATTATTTCATTGCATTTCAAATAAATCAAGTTTTAAGTAAACTGTAGTTTTTGTAGAGGCTGTATATTATAATCAAAGTAGCCTAGGGGAAATCATATTACATATTCTTCTTGCACTTTCATAGTCAATGGATAATTTGTATGTGTCTGAATAAAGGTATTGGTGCTAACACCATGGATGAGATATAGTGATTGCATTATTATTATTATTGAAAATTATACACTAGATCCTCGACTTTTTGTAAATTTTCCAAATGTTTCAAATCTGTTAGAAAAACCTTCCAAATGATTTATCTAGAGAACTTACCATTAAGGTCTACCGGAGTGTTTGTAGATAAACCATATGGATAGTTTTTTGAATAGTATTGACTCTTTTAGAAAGCTTATTAAATCAAAGCCTTTATCATTTATTGTTTACTAATAATTGAATTGTTCGGAATTTACAGAGCATTCCAAAATTTAGGCCACCATAGCCAAAATGGAAACTTTTGTTATGTCAGCTATGTTATCAGTTTGGCTTATTTTGGACTAAAATTTTAAATTCACTTTGAATTCTGAACAATATACACACACAGACAGGCACCAAAACACACACATACACAAATGGACACAAAAAGCTGAGGGTGCTTTGCCGGCTGGTGACATAGTCTAGATCAAGTCCTTCTCAGCTGCTGTCCTCCAGATCTGGTAGGAGCAAGAGGAACAGACAATCGGTTCACTCCTTTACTCCTCCAGTTTCTCCACACTACAAGGGAGCATTATCAAAGATCTGTGTGAAGGGATAGCATACTGCGTTGTGCTACCTTACAATACTCTTCCACTAGCGCCAATGAATAAGGTGCACAAAGCCTAACCCCGATATGCTTATCCCCCCGGGAAGTCAATTATAGGAATAAAATAAGGATTCCACCACAAAGTAGGCTGTCTGAATGCAGTGGGTAGCCCAAGAAACCACAGCCCACTAGAATTCTCATTTTGAATTATAGCTGAAGATCCAGCATGACAAGCGATTGCAGAGGGACAGAACATCTGTACACTGTGCACACAGAGCCCCAGGTCTTGGGACTCAAGACTAATGACATTAAGGAAAATATCTTTCCAGAGGCCAATTGAAGGCGGTAGCCCAGGTCAGCCTCCCCTCCCACTGGCAAAATGTGTGCAAAGTTTAAGTATGTATAGGACTGCTGTAGCCCTTTACTTGTCTGTGCCCCACCCATCATATGCATTGATGAATTATAAATATGTAAGTATTGGATATTTATTAATATGTAAATGAAATATTGTTGTATTATTTCTTAATTGTATGGGTAAGGTTGTTCAAATGGGGGAATAGATTGTTATGGGATTCTAGTTTGTTAAGGCGGTCAGTTCATAAATGGCTGACTAGCTTGTTTGATGTTAACTGTTTTAATATGTTATGTAAACCTTAATAAACATCACCATGGCCTGACGGCAACAGGTATTTAGCGTCTTGTGTGATTACTTTTAAAGTTCACTATGGCAAGCACGGCATATAAATTTGCCAAAACTTACACACCTCTGGTGCTTTTCTAAAATAGGGTTTTTTTTCCAATCCATAAATTTGCTAGCATATCTGCTAGCATAATGTATAGATAGAGTTTAATGCTATGTTATAAATAGCTATAACTATATAAGTTGTATAGTTAAACATTTCTAACTCAACCAAAGTCACAGTTTGGCTACACAATTTGATTTTGAGTTCCCTCTTGCCTCTTTTGTGTATATACCCCATTAACTTGATTATCTCTAAATTGTATAGCATTTAAATCTCAGTGGAAAAAGTTAAGGTGAGATAGCCAAGTTTTGACAATAGTTGAGTTGGAGATTTTTTTTTATAGATCTTTATCTAAATTTTGCCATTTGGATTTTGATTTGCCGCCAATCTGAGTTTAGTTAATAGACCCTCATGAGATCTGCTTATTAGCTAAGTCCATTTTGAAGTCAAAATGAACCAGAGATTGACAAATTTGTAAAAGAGTCCAAATCATTATCACTAATGCAAATTCATTATAGGAGAGGTATCAAAGGGACATATTTGTATCCATAAATCATATGACTGTGCAGTTATTACAATATTGGCAAACTATAATTTATAGTTATGTAGATTTGTACTTGCTATTTGGTAAAAATCATAAGGCAGTAATGTTCCCCTTGGATCAATAAACCTATGTCTATCCTCTGATACTCACCTCCAAGACTTCTCTAGGGCTTCACCGTTCCTATGGAACTCCCTTCCCTTCTCCATTAGACTTTCCCCCAGTCTCCATTCCTTCAAAAAATCATGGAAACTCACTTCTTAAGGAAAGCATATACATTCAACTGTTAACAGCTCTCCCTTCCTACACCCAGATTCCTCCCTGGCAACAGTCATTAAAAAAAATAAAAAAAAACAATATAAACGACCCACTTAACCCCCATTGAATATTATTCTAGCAACCTACTTTTCTACCCTACACTTACCTCTTGTGTCACTAAACCCCGCTCCCTCGAGCATGTAAGCCTCTGTTCCTGTGCGTCCAACTCGTCTGGTAACCTATACTTATTTGTTAGTCCACCAAATGTACAGCTCTGTGGGATTTGTTGGCGCTTTATAAATAATAATGATAATAAAACTCTAAAAGTGAGAAAAAAAGTGACAGTTCCTCTTTAACCTTCCACCTCTTTATCTCACTTTGTCTGCAGTCACGTGAAGGTCTACTGAAAATAGACAGAATAATTACACTTGTCTTGTGATTTATTATTGTACGGCTTTCAAACAAGTGTTATGTTCAAGTTTAAATTATTATTATTATTTAATTGTTTTACTACTTGAAAAAAATATGATGATCAAAACAACACCATTTTTAAGTTGTTTTCAAGACGCTGTAAAATTGAATCACTCTGTTTCTTTACAATATGCCCGGGGGTAAGCTATTTAAAGGCAAGTTGTGTCTGCAGCTAGAGGGGTGTGATTCTTGCTTGCTAGGGCAGCTTGCACAAGATCTGAGTATGTTAACATGTGTGCTGCACTATATTACCTGTATTATTCTGTTTATTATGTGATAAATTATTATTCAGTTGCTGATGGGCTAATTCAGTTTTTGTCTGGATCTAAATTACCATTTCATATGCCTTTAGTCTATGTACTTCAGAGTTGTCATGCTATGATTCAGGCTAACTTGGGGCAGTATGTTGTTATTGATATTTTATAAAATGTCAGAATATTCCATTAGGTTTGAACCAGCATTGTAAATTCTGCAACTAGAGTGGACATTATAAGATGTCCCTATCACATTTAGTATAGCCGAATAACGATGGAGAGATTGCTTCCTATTTGTGATAAGAATGTTGATGGAACATGTTTGGGGTATCATCTCTCTGTATGGTAAAATTGTACAAATTTGGAATGTTAAAATGTACAGATTAGGTCTATGTAGTCTAATTTCTATAATGAAAACTTACACAGGGTTAGTCACTAAAATAAGAATTGTTAGGAATTCAAAGTGAATTTTGAATGTAAGGTCAAAATCCCCAAACTGTACAACAAATTTTCTAAGTTCGCAGTTTTCTTTAACTAAATTTTGAAACTAACTGTGTATTACTGGATATTTAATCCTGGTGGTAACTGATTAGAACCCACTTTTTATTATATAATTTCATTGCCACGGCTAAATAATGATCAAGGACTGACACCTTGGTGGAATCCGTACTTATTTTATATGTTATGGAACCAGCACCTATTTCTGCTGTGAAATTATTACCAAGTTGTAATGGAACCACACTCCGCCAGGACCCTAATGCGCTTTGCCTTAAATGAGTGCCTCCATCTTGACTTCATGTCAATCACTACTATAAACTCTGTCCTTCTGTCATTGAACATATCAAATAGGGGGAGTAGAAAAAGAAGCAATGTTTCTGTTGCACTTCCTGCAAACAATCAGTGCCCTGGTTGTGCCATGACTGAACTGCATTGGGATTTATCTGTAAATCTTTAGTAAATAAAAGAAAATGGAGCCGAACTTGAAACAAAGGTTAATATACATTATAGGTGATGTTCACCATTTCATTAAGTGATGTAATTTGCAGAGAACCCACGTTTGCCCTTTAAGATGGTTTTTAGAATTTCCACTGTGTACTCATGAAATGGTTAAAACTACTTGGTGTGCAAGTTTATAAACTTTATACAAAAGAAGGGTTTATGTGTGGCCACCTCCACTTGAGATATGCATTCCTGTGGGATGTGCATTAGCCTGGTTTTATCAAGAGACAGTGAGGTAATTTCCTTTCAAAACTATCCACAAAAACCAACTTTTTGTGGTAACAGTTTCCCCTTGCTTTGTAATCATTTTATGGGGATTGGATACTTGTGTGCTGTTGGAGAAATGATAAATGATCAGAAATGTGTCTGTCAATTCCAAAACCTTCCTTTTAACCCCTTATGGACACCTGACATGTCTGACATGTCATAATTCCCTTTTATCCCAGAAGTTTGGTCCTTAAGGGGTTAAACTGATTTTGGACTCTTTGTGGATGCATTTGAGTGTGTAGATCTTGTGCCAGACACTTCCTTTGAAGAAATAACAAAAGTACTGGGTTCTTCTGGCATTCTAGATCGCATACTCCACAACTCCCATCACCCTCACCCAGTTTACTTTTCTTTTGCCTTGATGATGGCGGTGCTAGATTGTTTTCAGAAGATGATGAATGTTTGAATCCTCATCCCATCACCAGGTTAAACCCTATTAAAATAGAGGGATTTGTTGCCCCCCCACTACATCGGTGGGGGCACCCTAAGAACGCTTTTATCTGTCTACATATAGTGAGTGTATATATTGTTGCGCACTATTTTGTGTTTTTACAGTATCACTCTATATTTTGTTTTATGTCCCTTTGTAGATTTACACAGCCTTATCCGGAACTGTTTCTCTGTGGCTCTAAACCCTATTAAAACCAGATCACAATTTTCTGTTACTCTGTATCAGTACACGGATGGCTTTCGGTATGAAAACAAATTCTGGATCAATGTAATAAATATGCAGCAATTGTCTTTGAAAACAGTTGGTTGTTCCTGCTAAATAATAATCGGAATGGTTTAATCACAGACAAGCTGTAACAATTTCTAAGTACCTACCTGTACATTTATGGATGGTGGCAATATGTAACACACAAACAAACAAGCCCAGCATCCAATATACCTATATGACCTGCATGTTTTCCTAAACTATGTCTGTTTTATCAATTTAAACAGATTGTCCTCTATCAGTTCCCCACTGCGATCATAGCTACACTGTTTCCTTCCATCCCCAGTATATTTTATTTATTTTTTTCCAGGGCAGCCAGCAAACCAGGGAGTTATATGTTTTTCAGGGTCGGTGGAAAAGTGTTTTTTTTTGTTTTTTTTTAAAGAACTCATTGAAAGAAATAGGCTGTGAGAATCATCTCCAAACGATTTACTTTTATTAGTTCTACAAATGTTCTCAGCTCCTGCCAAATAAACCTACAAGGCACAGCAAAATGCATGGAATAAGCAGACAGTTACTTAATGGAAAACCTGCATTTTTTTCAATGCACCCACCACAAGGTCTGGGGATTTGTAAACCTCATAGGTTATTGTGTGAGTATTATGAAACAAACAGAATTTGGATATTAAATCCCCCCCATTTCCATTGTTCTTCTGGTTTGAGAACTCCCTTTGTGAAAGAGCCAGGGAAAACCTAAGAGGACTTCCAGTTTCCTTCCAAGTGTGGCTGCTCTTTTTGGCTCTGAGAAGACACAGAGGACCCCCTGGCACTAGTACTTGAGCAGGAATCATGGAGAAGGAATTTTGAAAAGTATGTGGAACTTTCCAAAAAAGTAAGAATACCCCCTCCCCCTTTTTTTCCACCCCCCCACCCCCTCATACAGAAGCATTGAATCCATCACCCAGTGGCAACAGTCCACCTTCCCCAGCTATTTCGTAAGAGCTTACGAGATTTGGGAACAGCCCTCTCTTAAGGAGCAGATTGGGGAGAGGCGCTTCCCACTTGAAAGGAGACAGTCCATCCGCACGGAGCATCCTTGGAAGGCAGGAGGAGACCCTGAGCATCGCTCTGACTGTATCCTTAGCTGGACCGCGAGGAGGTACTAGAAGACCACTCAGCAGAGCAGCGGCTAAAGCAGGTCAGCCAGGACCCCACTGCTATGTCTTCTTCTGGGATCATGAGGGTCATAGTGTAGTAGGGTTAAGCTACTGATACTGCTAAACTAGTTCATGAGATGCAGCGCTCCAGCCATTCCCATACATAGTCTTTTTATAGAGCATTGGTTAACTCTCAGTTTGTTACATCAGTAAGTGGGGTTCTAGGAGCATTCTCCAAATGAACACAGCATTGCTTTTAGTATTGGTCCAGTTTATTGTTCTTTCAGCTACACTGTTTTTGTTTTTAAAACTATTAGCTGGAATACAGAGTGTTTGTTTTTGATTTGTGCTTTTTTTTTTAAATTGTGTTAAGAGGTTGTGGTTGATTTACTTTTATTATGTATAATTTTAGCCCTTTTTACTTATATGCTATAAAATGCAAAAATAAAAATAAAAACTTCATGGATGCAATAATGATAGTTAATATTTGCAGCTCTGCATCGATTTCCTTAGAAACTACAACTCCTACCACTCTCAGCCAACCAAACTTTGGCTGAGCATAATGGGAGTTGTGGACACTTGGCGCAGACCGGTGCAGAGCGCAAATCCCCATCACGCTTACCCAGTTAGTCCCTGTCTGGGCTTAACGGGAGATGGTGAACGCAGCGACAGCCAGAGTCAGCCTTATTCCACTCTTCTTGCTTATTGTATGTTAGTAATTTAATAGTTAAATTGCTCTCGGTAAATGTCTCTGCTGGTTTGCAAATGCTTTCGGGTGGATTAAATGGTCTGTTTGTAGTTTGACTTTCCAGTAAATGTGCTGGTTCGATGTCAATTAAAAGAACAAAGGTCTGTGTAAGTTGGGGACAGAAATGCATGACTTGTGTATTACGTCATGACATGCATGACGTATTCTGAAAGAAAAATGTAAACTGGGACATCTGGAACCCTGGTGCAGTTTTTCAATTAGGACATCCTGGGGAAATGAGACCATGCTTTTGGTGCGTAGCATAGATACATTTGTAAATCTACTCCTAAAAGAAATGTGCTTTGGTAACTCAGTCACAAAGCTTCAAAGCATATATGAGGCTAAATGTTTAATGCACGATTCACCTTTTGAGTGCCAGCGATGTATTTAACTGGCTTGCTCAATGCCTTGAGCACACCTCAGATAGTCAAAGGGTTAATATTTTGATAGTTTACCAAATGGCACTTTGTGCACCAAATGTGGCTACTTATTTACTAAATAAGACAAAATAAGAAAAAAAAAATGCCCTAACGTCCAGTTTGGAAATTTAACCCCCTACTCCCGTTCCTGGTAACAAAGGTGTTAAAGTCCAAAAATCATATGGAAGATAACTTTGGAAAATTCTGATGATTTATTACAGGATCAGCGCACGTCGGTTTGTAATAAAGAGCTGACCGTCTCGAATTCCTTGTGCATGCAGTCATACCCATTATCCACAGCCAGGAGTGCTGTGCTTTAAAACACATTACTGCAGCACCTGATTGCAAATGAATGCACTGATCACCATGTGTTCATTTTCCAAAGCTTTACATTGCTTTCAATTAAAATAATAATAATAATAATAATAAAAAAAAAATCTCAGTGCAACAGATCCAAGTATAATATCATTTCCGTTTAGTATATTTAGTTTTGGGACTAGTCAGCTCATACAAACTCACTCCAGATTTCTCTAAATGAACCTCCTTTAAAAATGTGTAAAATAAGTAGAAAACTGAAGGAAAATTTTTTTGGCAAAAGGCTTTTCCCATCACAGGAATCTGTTTCATTTCTTAAAGCACAATTCATTCTTTTTCTAACCTATAGGTGTCGCTGTGAGACAGAATAAAGTCTTTGTGTTATATGATACCTGTTGAAGTACATTTCTAGTTTATATTAAAGAACACTAAGTAGTTGTATCTAAAGTAGAAAATGGCAATATGTTATCGTAGCCAGAAGTAACAAAGAACGAATGTCCTTGATGCTGTTTGTGTGTAGCAAAGTCAGCCTCCTGCTTGAAAATGAGAACTTTTTATGAATCACTGTGTACAGATCTAATCTCTCTGCTAATTTACTGTGACTAATTTGCAACACTAAACCTATTATATTGCCTTTCTAATGCTGGCCTACTTGTTTCCTTTTGTTGAGTGAAACAGGTCTGTAATTGATAGGATGGTATTGCTTTACTGTGGCTAACAAGATGAAGATGTTGGAAAATGTGCCTCCCTCCCTAACCCACCCTGTCTTGCTTGATTCTTTTGTAGAATTATTACTTTTTAAAAATCATTTATTGTATTTTTTAGAACTTGTACGTCTTCGTTTTGCCTTGCTGTGAAATATTTCAATATGGGAAACTGACTATTAATATGAATTGATTTACCTGGTGCATTCAAGGACTAATTATTAGACCAATGTGCTCAATTTATTATAGATTGGATGCCTAAAGAGCAATTCTGTGGTAACATTCTAAAAAGGAAGCAATATGGAAGATACATGCTATTGGTTTAATGGTCAAAACGTCTGTTGCTTGCCTCTTGGCACTCAGAGGGTTAAAATAAGGAATAATCGCAGGCTCTAGTTCAGCATAGGGTAATTGTTCCCCAGAAACTATTTGTGCAATGTATCTGAGCTCATGGGATTCTGCCCTTGTCTATCTTGCTAATGGGTTTTGCCATCTTTACCTGAAATACCCCTATTGTGTCTGGCTAGATGATTAATCGAGGGATTCTAAACTGTGACCCTTAATCCTACAAGCTCTACATTTGTATTGCGGTTTTACTGCTCTGGCTACATCTGTAGCAGCAATCAGGATGTTTTATAATCCTTGGATGACTTGAAAGACTCCCTTGTGGGCATTACATCATGGTTGTGTTATCCTTTGGGTCCAAAGGGTTCCTTCCTTAACCATGTTGGTGGTAGGGAGACTGATGATTCATGTTTCTTACACTGTCAGCATCACACTGGTTTTTATACCAAGAGATGCTCTGTATTGTTGATATAATAATGGTATTTTTTAAGCTTTTATTGAAAATCCTTTTCCTTTTCTACCAAGTCCATCTATTAGAGGCAGACACACAGTTGTTTTACCTTCAGCGATTTAAAGCTAAAATAAAAATCTACAAATTCCAGTTGTAAATTATTTTCAGAATAAGCTGGAAAATACTTGAATCTTGGAAGCTGGAATTAGTCTTACACTACCGAGATTTCTGGCGTTTGACCAACTGTGGGGTAAAAATGTAGTCTTTTGTTTTTAACCCAATATTGACCAAAAATAAGTAATCTGTCAGTTATTACCCATACAATATTTACATATTACTTGGACAAAGGTTCAATAATAATAATAATATTATATGTATAACATTTTCCTTGCCGAAACCTTATTGGCATGCATTATTGGCATGACATTAAATAACTGTTTCAAATTAGGATGTCCCGGCAGTCCTATATGGCTTTCCAATACCAGAAAAAGAGAAATACTATCCATGTGAATATCAGGGTAATTATAAAATAATGTGCCTCCAGCTTTAAAAAAAATAAATAAATGAAATAAATATTTAACTAACCTGAAGTGCTTGAGTATGCTGCCAGTAGATAAGTAATAGATAACTAAAATAATATTCCTCCTGGTACAGTAGTCATTTTAGACTAGATATGTTAGATTGATTGATCGATAAAGTATCTTCTCAAGGGACCACGTGATTTTCCTCTTGGACCCCTTCACTTTGAAGCACTGTGTCGAGAATGGGGTGGGGGCTTCATGGTTACCTCCTGGTTGAGTGGAGTTCCTGGGAACCCCATGCTGATTTTATTTATTATTTTTTTAATGTGTGCCAGCTGGCAGCCCAATACTGTCAGCAAGCTATTCCTGTTAGCATCAAGGAACATTACCTAACAGTCAGTCAACATTAAGAGGGCTGTCCAGGTCAGTTAATGTTGGTCTACGTTGGTTTTTTTTACTGCATGGTTTGAGTTGGCCTCCCTTCAATTCTGTATGCAGTAACTTTAAGATAACATATTGAACTAATCTTCAGCATTGTTGTTTAAGCAACTTTCTTTCAATAATTTGGAAAATGTGAAGTTACAAATGGAGTTGCCGTTAAAATATAAAAAAACACATAGTTATTGTGCATGGGACCATTCTAATTAATAAAACAAAACAACACAACATTTCTGACATGAAAACTGTTTATCTTAAATGTGCCAAATTAAAATGTTAACTTATTAAACCCAACAGCACATACATACAGAACCGCTAATAATTTTGGTGGTTATCCACTAATTAACTTTGAACTGATTTTTTTAATGCCAGGTGAGTGGTTGTGTTGGAAAAAATCCTCAATGTGGCTATCATCTAAAGTTAGCCACTGCTACCCCTGTACCTGCACCATAACCTATAAGATGTGGTTAAAGTATAGACCAAGGAATTCACAATAACTTATCTAACTATGTTTTCAACAATGCACTCTTTGGTATGGTTGTCAGCCTATGAAGGTCTATGTTATACCAAGGTGCTATGGAAATAACAGTGCCCATAACCTCTCCAACTCCAGTGCTAGGGCCATGTCCGTTTCCCCTGAAAATATATTCCCACAATAAACAAATGCAAATAATCTAATAACAATAATCTACCTTACCACATAACCCTTAATGTGTCAGAGTCTTCCATAACGCGACCCTAGAAAAATACTTGAAAAATACAATATTTAGTATTTCTCCATTAAAGGACCACTATAGTGCCCTGAGGGTGCCCCCACCCTCAGGGTCCCCCTCCCGCCGGGCTGGATGGAGAGGAAGGGGTTAAACTTACCTCTTTCTCCAGCGCCGGGCGGGGAGCTCTCCTCCTCCTCTCCGCCTCCTCTCCTCCTCTTCGGCTGAATTATCAATGCTTTCCTATGGACGCAAGCGTCTTCTCACTGTGAAAATCACAGTGAGAAGCGCGGAAGCCTTCTAGCGGCTGTCAATGAGACAACCACTAGAGGCTGGATTAACCGACAGGTAAACATAGCAGTTTCTCTGAAACTGCTATGTTTACAGAAAAAAGGGTTAACCCTAGCTGGACCTGGCACCCAGACCACTTCATTAAGCTGAAGTGGTCTGGGTGCCTATAGTGGTCCTTTAAGCAGTTTTTTTTTTCCATCTTACTGCTTGTAGGATTTTTCTTGACTGCCCACTTTTTGATGTCAGCTGTCAAAAAAAGCAAATTAGTGTTAAGAAGGAAACTGGTCTGGTTCATAATGGCTGATGCTGCTTTAGCCTGTATAACCTTTTGCCACAGTCTTTATTTCAAAAGTTAACTTAACATTTGCCAGTGAATAATGTCAACATAAACCCATTAATGCAGTTTATTCATAGTTGAAACTTGCGTCGGCTGTTCATTTGAAAATAATGTATAACACCACTTTAATTAAAGTGTTATCTATCCTCTATTAACTGCAATAAATCGACAAATGAATTGCATACCCAGGGACAAATAGCTGAGTTGGAGAATGTCTCAAAATAAACCTAGTTGCTATTTTGTTCTAAGTATTGCATATACTATTTACTACTTTTGGAGATTCTTTTTGTTACAAACTGCAATTCATTTTTATTTGTGCTGATCAGTTGATCGTTCGAATTCCCAAATTCTGAGCCGAAATGTAGTCAAACGTGAACCAAACAAAATGAGTATAATGTATGTTCATTTTGATACATAATTACGTGAATGGCCCCAAACAAAGAGATAATTAATGGGGAAAAAGCTGGTTGATGGCACAGTCACTAAAGTTGATTTCATTCACTAATCAACTAAAAATGAGCAACAGACGGGAGAAAAGGAGAATCAATAAATTTAAAAAATATATAAATCGATATTTATAGGTTATACATTAAAGGAACACTGTAGAGTCAGGAAGACCCCCTTGCCCCTTTTAAAAAGGTATAAAATGTACCTTTATTCCAGCACCACATGGGTCCGGGTCCCATAGAAAAGCATTGGATTGGCTGAGAATCAATGCAACTCTATGGGGAAAGAGTCTTCATGCAGAGCGTGGAGACATTGAATGTCAGTGCTGCACAATAAGCACTGACCCAAGAAGCACCTCTAGTGACTGTCTGAGTGATTTCCAATGGAGGTATCCCTAAGCAGCAATGCAAACACTGACTTTTTTCTGAAAAGACAGAGTTTACATCAAAGTGCCTGCAGGGACGGGGTATACTCACCAGAACAAATACATTAAGCTGTAGCTGCTCTGGTGACTGTAGTGTCCCTTTAATAAATATATAATATATAAATATAGATTTTGTACTGTTCCTTCTCTATTTTGGTTACTTTTTCTCACTTGGTCTGTGATCCAAATGATGGGAAAATGCTCCTATCTGTGTATTGCAAAATATATGCATACTGTTTATATTATGTTTATATTTTGAAGGATACTGATTGGCACATTTTTTATGTGGTTTGTCTGATTCATTTCCCGAATTGTTTTTCTGCTATCGAAGTTGTGATGAGTCGAAGCTCCATAGTGCAAATTCTCTACATGACTAGTGGTGTATTTCCAACGACCCCCAAAAACAAGAATTACAAGAAGACAAGAGTGCAAGAATGCCTGCTAACATTCTTGCACCCAGAAAGAGAGAAGGATGGGAGACACGTTTATTTGAAACTCTTTGTCCTCCTGGACTACAACTTCTGGTTCAGCAATATCTTTAGCACCCAGCAGAAGAAACTGCCATAAGCTGAGTCACTAGTGTACAGGAATGTTCCAGACAACATATTTTGAAAATAAATGTCTCGGATTTAAGATAAAATAGTCTCATGATATCTTGTTGTGCAACTTATGATTGCTTTGGAGCATTAAAGAAATTTCAATGCAGCCTGTGAGTTTTTTTTCATAAATATAAGATTTTAATGAACAAAAAATAACAACTCAAAAATAACATTACCACTTTAACTAGGCCTCTAGTTTAGAGTTATATACGGGACAGGTTGCTACAGGCAAGAGTTTTCTGGAACTTTGTGGTCATCTGGTGTTGATTCCAAGACAAGTGGCCTGGTTGCATGACACTAGCACGTTCCAAGCTCAGTAGGAGCTGAGATAAAAATAATAAATGAAACCTTTGATTCCCTCTCTTAAACATTATTCCTTTTATGGTTACAGATCCATTCATGTTGTTGTGATCCGATAAAGACTGAAAAATGAAAATACGGCTTTGCTCAGCAGTGACAGCACTTTGTGCTGTACTGCTCTTATCGTCCATAGAGGCTGAAGGTAACTGATCCTTTTCTCCATATAACACGCACATTGAATAATGGTGTAGAAGTGTCAGGACTCCTTTCTTATTTCTGTCTTCCAGTCATTTAATTTCATCTCTGTTGTTCGTCTTTTCTCTTTGTCTTCTTATGTCTTGTGTTCGTAACAATTTTTTTCTCTAGGATAAAAACTCAAATGCATATTCTCTATAGTACAACATTAACAGAGATATATACTTGGCAAGGGATCACTGCACTCTCCAAGAAGTATGGCTCTGGAAGAAAGAACGTGTGTAAGCATGAATCTAAAAAAAAATCAGGAGCCCTCTAGCACTACCACACCCCTCCTACTTGGCACTGGTGCAGTGTGAAATCAGAAACATCCAAGTTTTAATAAAACATTTTTTATAAAGTGTGCGTACATGTTGTGCCTCTGTCTTCTTTTTTTTTTTGCTGCAAAATATAGCCTTTGTGATCTTGTATTATACCTACTAACATGTTTACTTTGCGTTTACAGCTTTTATCCTTTGTTTAGATACAGCACACAGGCAATAAATACATGTTATAATTTGGAGATTTTGTAATCAGCATTACGTACCCCAAATTGTTTATTTATGGTTGATTTGTAAATAGTATTAATGCTCTGATAGATGTAGATGTTCACATGCTATAGTATGTGTCATTAATTGATATAATGGGTTAATAATGAACACCTTCCACTGTTTATGTATGTCGAAAAATGTCTAATCATACTACACCTCTGTTTCTTACACCCAGACACATACAGTTTAACTGAAACACTAAGATATATTTATAAAGTAATTCAGAGGAAAGTTTTAAAAGTAGAGTAATTGCCATGGGAATTAATGTAATATTCCTCTTCTTTTACAACTTTACTTTTCTCCCAAATTGTTCTGTATCCATAACTCCCAGTTACTTTAAAATAAGGCTTTACAGGCCACTTATTTATTCGGGAATGCTTGAACAAAGTTGCATGGCACAAACCGCCACAGTTAATGGCAGGGCCTAATAGCACTTCCTATAGTATCAAAAGGTTTAAAGGTGCACTCCAGGCACCAAAACAACTTAATCTAAAGGAAGTTGTAATGGTGCCAAGAGGACCCTGTGCAAACTCTTACCATTAGGGGTAAACCGTTCTCGAATGGTTTAACACCAAAGTTGCCTCTAGCACTGAGCTCAACTCCCCCCAGATGGCATCTGGCTTCTGAAAGTTTAGGAAGCACAGAGTGCTGCCGCCAGGGGTGCTGCTGATTGGTTAAGAGCGGCCAGCTGTCACTCTCAGCCAACCAGTGACTACCAATTCATAATACTGGCTTGGAAAATGTATGTTTCTTTCCAAGCCAGTTTTGTGAATGGGGAGTCACTGATTGGCTGAGTATGTTGGTTGATTGTCTTCAGCCAATCAGCGAGATTAACCCCTGAAGGCAAGAGTGCACCTGTGACCTCCTAGATGGAGTTAGTCGTTGATGAAGTTGTTATGGTGCCTTATTCTGCCTAAGCTGTCCCTTTAAGAAAAAGTAAATGATGTAATTCACTTTGACATTACTGTATACGTAGAGGTTATTGTTAGTAATGGGTATTATACCCAACTTCATGTTAGAACTGCCTGTTACAAGGGTAGCTGAAAAGCTCCTCCAAAAATTGTAGAACTAGAGTTACCATGATGCAATAGGCTTGCAAAGTATGTTGGTAGTTTTAGTTGTACAAGTGATGGGGGATACGAATTGCATACCTCTACTCTTTTCAAATCATTAGAACGTGTCCAACTGCCATTTAGACACCAGGAACTAAAAATACACATATAGTCTCATAACTTAGCAAATACTTTGTTTTTAAGTAGCTTTTCTATAATAATTTTTACCAATATTAATCCGCTGATTAATATTGATTGACATGAGTGAAAAAGGTGATAGCTGGATTGTTTATGAACAGAAGGACTGGATAGATTATTTGTGTTTTTGTATGTTAACATGCAGTTTTGCATAAATTTGCAAAACCGATCAACAATCTTTCACTGGGACAAAGAACAGGATACATAACACATCTAAAAAGTAATTAAGCATAAAAATAAAAAACATAAATTGTTTAGCTTATTTAGATGAAAACAAACACACAAACAAAACAGCTGACAACTTAGATTGTATAATATACATCAGTCTTATGCTTACGTAACTTGCTTGGTTAACAGCAAGACTTTAGGTAGGTAAGTGGCACTATTAAACATACGCAGTGCTATGCCAAACACAGAGGCAGACACGTGTACTTGTACCTAATATATACCCCTGCTTCTTTAGATAGAGGCATAATCCAATGTTTCACAGCATTATTTAGCTAAGATCAATTAGTACAGTATTTCCCTCCTAAGGACTGCTAATGTCAAACTTCAAATCAGCTAATTTTGCTAATATTAAAATCCCCTACCAAATTACATTAACATCTGAAATTAGACTTCTATAAAGGGATTTCCTGACCACTTCCCAGGTCTCCATTGAGTTTAGGTGGAGAGACTGAAACCTCAGATTTTGGGTGTGATGTCAGGTGCATTTTCTTCCCTCTTAGTGAAGAGCTTTCTGCTTTCGGCTGTTGACCAAATGATTTACGTAAGCATAGAAAATCTGATTATGATTAAGTAAGCGATTTGATTTATTACACAATGATTTTTCTTCTGCTTTGATCTTCATATGCAATTGGAGAACATTCCAAACATTTACAATTTAGCCAAGTGTAAGTTTATTTTTTTGAATAATGAAATACCTATGAGAACATTTTGTTCCACCATTTTTATGCAGGATGGGACATTGACAGTAGTGGTGGACACTTTTGTTGTTTTTCTGTACCACTGATTACGCTTTCTACATGCAACACTGCAAAGCAACGAGAATGTTATGATGTTTATTTGAATTTGCATTGGATTTGCATTAATGGATAGATAGGGTCTCTAGTTACAGCTCTTATTCCCATTGTTTAGCTGGTTGATCATATTGGGAATAGCAGTTAAAGAAAGTGCATATCTCTAAAAATGTTGCTTTAGCAAATCTTATGTAACAATTTAGTTCAATTACTTACCGTAATTAATGAGATTTAGTTTACATTTAATTACATTCGATTCCAATTAAAACCACTGTAAAGTAAGATTAAATTACAGGGCGTATCTTGTTATATTACAGAAGCCTGAAAATACCTCTCCTATAAATGTAAAACAAGACTTTAATGACTTTAAACTGCTATTCACGACATTCATCACTGTTGCTGATGATGTACTAAGCAGTGATACATTCTGTGTTTCCTCTTCTTTTTTTAAACATGATTTATTAAACACCCGTCTTTGGCTTTTTCATGCTTTAAAGTGAAATATAAGCTGGAAAGACTATAAGTGATATGCTATGGGTTATTAAATACACTGGAGTGTTTTAACCATGGTGCAATGAATTGCAATTCCAATGTTATTTTGGGCAATCCATATAATGTTAATTATACTAAATGATTGCTATCTAACACCCAGTGGAAATTAAATGTATATTCTGGGGTTAAGTTCTAAGAGTAGAACAATCAGCAGGAATATTTCATTGGTTTCCATGGTGATCACTCTATTTATGATCGTTACCCCACAATTTATATATATCAGTTTTTATTGCCTGGTCCTGTTCTTCTGTTCATCGTACAGTCAAATATCAGACAATAAAGTTGCACTATAAAAGTTGAAATGTCATGAACAGGAAATAAATGATGCTAGCAAAACCAACGTGTTAATATCACACTTTAACTTGTCACAATAGTTTTGTTAAACAGTATGTAGACACGTCATTCTGTAAACTTACCATTTAGAAAAGTCTTTTTCATTATTATTATAAGGAAATCTGGGCATGATGTGTTTTCACAATGTTTCCATTTTGGGATATAACTGTTTATTAGTGTTGTTTATGCTAATATCTGTCACTGACAAAATGTCCACCGCTGACAGCAATAGCAACCATTGTTATCGTAACGTGTAAACACTGGGAAGCACACCGTAGCTACAGTCTCTAAAACGATTTGTTTCCAGTTGCAATTTAAATTACATGCAGCATCTCCTAACAGATATCGCTCACTCCTTTAAGATGGAACAGTTTAATGGTTGATTTGCTTATTTTAAATTATACTTTTCTTTTAACCATTCTTGGACTTGCTAAGTAGAAATGTTATTTCTGACTAATTTTCCATAACATTGTGAGTGTCTCCGGAGGGATGAGAAAGAACTTTAAAGGTTACCTGAAAAAAAAATTTACTTGTTGAGATGATGACGATGATGATGCATATGGATAGGTATGCATTCCTGACAATGTTTATACTATTAAATGAAGTGGTGCCACTGATATGTCAGAAGCTATTTTCAGAAATGGTCTTACATGATGGGAATTCCACTGGAAATGTTGGAACGCAGCATCCATATGTTCTTGAACATTTTTGCAAGATTTTTCAGATGCTAAAGATTTTTTCCCACAGTCACTTTTTCTTGGAATCCGGTCTTTTGGAGTTGACCATGTTGGGCTGTTACTGTTCACCAGCAGTTAAAGCCTAATGTTCTACAGCAACAGGTCAAATTTCTGTACAGGTTGGTGTTTCTTCTTCGCCATGTACTGAGCCATTTTTTTGAAGCATGCTCAGGTCAGTTGTGTCTGCCTTTGCATTAAATTTGTCCTGAGCCATTGCTACCGAAATAGTATTTTATAATGATATTCCTTATATAAGCTTATATTTATTTACAAGCTCTAAATGTAGAGATTAATATTATAAAAATATAACATTTTAAAACAGCTTCTGCATGCATTTGATATCACGATTATGGCTTTATCCTAATACAGGAGTGGCCAAAAGACAGTTTCCCAGCCGTTGCCGAACTACAATTCCATGATGTTGGGAAAGTATCTTGCGAATCGTAGTTCTACACCA